TGAAAAGGCTGCATCACTGTGTGGATCAGGTGTGCTTTCATTCCATGGGAAACAAGAAAGCATTCACCATGGAGCAAAGAAACTTCCACCATGAGGCAGTGCTGAGTAGGGGAGTCAGGATGCTATAGGATGTAGCACCTGTAGGATGCTATAGGAAAAGGTGAAGGAGAAAGCTCTTTGCTTCAGAAAGAAGAACAGAAATAAGCTACAAGAGCAAAGACATGCTGCTTCGACTGGGCCAGGAAGTTCAGACAAAGAGGAAGGGTAATTAATTTCCACAGCAGAGCTCAGAGAGTTTACAATAAAATCTCAAATGGTCAGAAAGAAAAGATTGCTCTGAATTCTCCCATTTTTGAAAGAAGGTAGCATTGAGCATAATATCTGAAAGAGCAGTCTGATGGAAATGAGCACTGCTGCGTGTTTTTCTGGCCGGGGAAACGGTGTGCAGTACGTCAGGGCTTGGCGCGTGGCGGAAGGTCAGAGCCGATTCTGAGAACCCACTAACAATAGAGTCATCATGGACACAGGTGCTTCCGGGATTGATCTTGCAATTTGGCTGTTTCAAATTAAATGTGAAGCAGCTGTGGCCCTTTTCTGCTCAAGTCACTGGAATCCATCTGAGGGGAAACTTTCTCCCATCTCCTCCTCTCTCCCCACCGCAAGCACGCAGCCCTGCTTTCTGAAGACAGAGATGGGCAGGAACGGCCAACTGGCAGAAGCCCCACCAAAAAAAAAAGTTGCCTTTCTTATCTCAGAGCAAAGCAATGAGATACTGATTCAGCCATTCATCTTCCAATGACTTTATTTGGGGACAAGGAGGACAGCCAGCAAAATACACAGCAAATACGAATACTGTTGAAGGTTGTCAGGCAAACAAATTTGGGATGCTTTCCTGCAGGCAACAAAATAAACAAATGAAGCCAATGTAAGGATAAGTTCTCAAGTGTTTATGGTATTGTTCTGCATGCTGAGTACAACAGGGTTTCTTTTGCAGACAGGGACTGAGGTTTAAAGAAGGTATTTTCAATAGTCTGCTGGTGGGATTCTAGAAGAGGCTCAGAAAGGCCAGCACCAGGCAGACCAACAGGAGCTAGGGGACTACGAAAATTCAGTCTGTGAGAGGCCCCAAATAGCTCCACGCCAGTTTTATACACTCTATGAACCTTTCTTTGCCACTTCATTGATTCTGGAGCCATTAAACCCTTCCATGCCTTGGCTATCTCTTGTAGCCTGCCAAGGTCTCACTTTACTTTTCCCTAGTACCTCAAGAAGGGAAGAACTTGGCTCAAATTTGTGCTTGTCACTAGACAACAGAAATGTGAGGCTCTAGGTATTCATTTTGGTCAGCTTAAAGAGCAGCCATTTCACAACCCATGCTTAGCATTTTGGAAAGAAAAAGCCAACAATCTTCTGGCTTGACCCAGCCTGTATGTAACCGAAAGCATAAACAGTTTGGGTTTCGTCCTGTTTCACTCTTCCCAAGGCTTTTCTAATACACATGAACAGTACTAGTTATTTGATAAAAAGATATTCTCTTGTCCTTTCTAATACTGAAATGGATGGGAGAGCTGAAGCACCAATACCAGACTATCCCACCTATTTATGATACCACTGCTTTGTTATTATCAAACAACAAAGTTCAGACTGCTAATCATTTCAAGCATAATAATCATACTACTGTAGGAACAGAGATACTAAAGAAAAATAGCATTTCCTTTTTTGGGCAAAGCAGCATAGGTAGTAAGTAGGACATAGCATGAGTGTTTTGCTGAAATTACTTCCATTCTTTCAAATAATGAGGCTTCTGACTTAACCTGAGAAAGACTGTCCTGCCACTAACTGTCAAGAAATCATTAATATTCAGCCAAATACACCCTTAGTTTCAATATGATAAACCTCCAAACCTCCTCTTGGTCCTTCTGGGCACAATCTGTCCACAACAATCCTTTTTTGAATTTCCTTGGCCAAAACATAAGCATGCAGCTGCTTAATTTTTTTCCAATCTTTGCATTTTTTCCATGTGCTGTCCACCCCCACCAATCTCTACATTAGAGTCCAGCTGATCTTCCCTGAACACTATCCATTTTTTCAACTGTCAGTGCCAGAATGCAATGCAGTGGGCTTGACTCCCTTTATACAACTCCTTTGGAAGAGACGCAGTAATGTCTCCATTGGGTTTCAGCAGAGGAGAGAAATACCTCTGGTTTCATGCATGGCTCCACAAGAATCACCATGAAAACACTTGCAGCTCTGTGAAGCAGAAAACAATCTCTGCTTGCAGGCAGCTCAAAGTTTATTGAGCTTCTACTTGTTTATTCTATGTATACACAAGCTTAGTATAACCGCTACCCCGAAATGGTTCCTCTTCTGGGCCTTTCTAACTATTTTCAAACATATTTTTTTTTTCATCTTTTAAAAAGCAAAGAGGAGAGCAAAAAAAAAATAGTGGTAGACAAAAACAGAAGGTTCCTTAAGAGTTTTAATTACAGCAACATAACCCCAATGTCCCAACAACTAACAGGCCGTGCTTTCTGACCATGATGTCAACTTTTGTCATAACTGTGTTTGATTAAACAGTCTTTTGCAGCTCAGCCAGAAATCACAAAATACAGGCTATTCTAGGAGAGGAACCCCAAGCCCTTCTGATGGCTACAGCCCCAGCTGTAGGACAATGAAAATACAGATGCCAATGTGCAGGTCTGGGAGTCTCTTTTTTTTCTAAAGGCAGCAAGCTGCTTCCTGTGAATATATTTAAATTCTTTTTATTTAAACTTTCTATATATACTATATTTTATATAGTCTATGTATAGACTATATAAACTTTCTGTAATCTTCTAGTGTTTCTGCACTTTGAATAATACAATTTAGTAGTAATTATAGATTTCTTTACCATGCCATTTCTTTTTCTTTCTGTATTCTCATCTAAAACTGGCAGACCATAGGAACACATCCATCAGCAGAGCATCTAATCTTTATGGAATACAACCATGTGCTCTCTCTCAACCCAATCCAGTCCTCATGCACATCAGTGCAGCCCTTAATAAAGTTTTGTACGTTCAGCATTTGGGAAAGATACCACTGAAATTCGGGTACTAGTCCAGACAAAGGGAGCAATCTGCCCAACACTCTGGTCTGGAGCTGGGAACAGAAGCTACCAAGTGTAGGATAATTCAACTGAGGACATATGCATTGTTCCGGGCAGGAGTCCAAGTCCACTCGCTTTCAAGTATATTTCCCCCAGGGACTGACAATTTTAGGGAAGACGTCATGAACAAGAGCCACTGCTGCCAAGGTGGAGGAATGCATACACAGAGGTGCCCCTTTTCGCAAATAAGTCAACATCAAGCAGTGGCTTTGTTTCAACTTTCCTGCCCCATCACGTTATTTTGAGTCTGTGATGACATGTATAAACATATCCCCAGACCATAAAGAGCAGAGACTATTCTTGGACATCTCTCACACTACTGTATCTTTCTTTCTTCTCAAGGGCTTGCAAACAGCCAATAAATTAATACTTTAAGAATTTCCAGTTGAAATACTTTTCATGGGAAGACGATACTTTCAATTAAATGAAAATTGTTGGGGAAAGTGCCTGCTTCCCTGAAAGGAAAAGTTTCTTTGTCAGAAACCTAGGAAAGGTATACCTCAGTGGTTTTGGTATTGTTTGTTGTTTTGCTGTATTTTTATAAACAGGCCCTTTTGTCGATTTTTAGCCAAAATTTCCAGCTCCAGCCAGTTATAGTGTTTAATGCTCTTCCCTGTGCCATGTTGGTTTTTCTCCCTCTGCCAAAGTGCTGCTTAAACCTCCTCTGAATATATGCTCTTCCTTGTGTTTGATTGCTTTTTCTTCTTCTTTTCCCCATTGTTATTTAAGACTGTGCTTTTATTGCTAAACATATTCCAAGAAGCATTTAGGATAAATGCTCTGTCAAAGACACTTATGTACAGTTGAGCCATATTATATTCTATATGAATCATTGCGAGAGTTTCACAAACAAGGTTAGATCAGCCAGATTTTCCAACTATATTAAACATAGCTTTTTCAGACATGGTCTACTAGCCCTGCGATTAATCCTCCATATTGAAACTCACCTCATATTTGGACCATGTCATGTCTGCCCACCAGGGACAGGAGCATGCTGCTAACGCTTTCTCCTAATGAGGATAACAATCCTATAACAGAGCAATCTCAGCCAATTTTTATCTGCAGAATGCAGGGGAAAGGTTAACTTTGCAAAGCTAAATGGTCTTCTCACCATCCGTCCCAGTTTTCTTGTCTATGATATCTTTAGACAGAGACCTCATCTAAATGGCCAGCAAAGAGAAAAGTCTAGGGAAGGAAGGAAGTCTGTTTCACCACTTGAGGACAATTTTGTGCCACGTTTTATCCTAACGAAAGTTGCCAAGAGCCTGGAAATCAATCTTTCTTGCCTGCTTTAATTGATCAGATGGATGGAGCATCTCAGGGAATATCAAATCTCTTTTTACCTACTGAACACGCTTTCCAAGGTGTATCTGCTACATTAAGTCTGGTCCTTCAGGCAAAACTCCAATCCCACCTGAAGAAGAGTAGCCTGAGGGATAGGCCTGGAAAATGAAGTTGGTGACAATCCACTGCCCTGCAATGGAGAAGCCACTAAAACTCCATGGAGAGAAAAAGACAAAACAGCTACGGGGGAAAAAGAGCACGATAAGATGTTTCTTGAAAACAGAAAGAAACTGTGGTGCTTCTCATCTGGTGCAGTTAAGCAGCTGTGACTTGAATAATGTCCACAAGTGAAAAAAGCCAGCCACTGAGGCTCCATCTGTTTCCAAATTCACACTACAGATACTTTACAATCCACTTTTTGTCTGGAACTTGGGTGAGAAAGAGGGGTTCCTCACCCCCTTACCCACCCTCCTACACTAATACAATAATCTTGGTCAGTCACAGAAAAAGGGAGAGAAAAAAACGAGGAGGAGGAGAGAAAGTGATTAATAGTCTGTGGACAGCTGCTTACTTTCCAATTGGTTGTCCAGGAGGGGTGTGCTCCACTTCAAATCCTGCTTGTCTCAGTACATCAATCACAGTGTTGTTACCCAGGAAGTGACCTAAAATACAGGTAGAAAATAGCACTGTCAATCAAATGGCTCCTCTCACTCGCTTGAGTTTCTCCTGTGGGAACAACAGGTTTGGGAGGCAAAGTTACCAGAAGCTAGAGCAGCAAGAATGGCACGTTACATGATTTGCTGGAATTCAGGCTCAATTACTCACTGTGTAGCCCACTGCAGCCTTTGGCAATGGCCAGGGGAAGAGACAGCGTACAATCTGATAAGGTATTCTTCCATCTCATCTACTCCCTTCCCCTCATGTGGCTAAGTGACTGGGTGGATGAAAGAAAACCAAGATGAATTGCTAGCCTGGTCTTCCACTGTGACCATTTTCAGTATACGCATGGACTAAATGAATCATAGAATCATAGAATGGTTAGGGTTGGAAGGGACCTCAAAGAACTTCTAGCATGGATATCAGAATGGCTCTGCAGCGGCGAAAAGAGTATTACTAGGGCTTTGACTCATGAATCGGAACAACCTACAACCCCAGATGTCCACCCTGCCTACCATTGTTCATGGACATCTGCTTATGAAGAAGCTCTGAATCTGCCATACTGCACGCTCAGTGCTCATCTACCTAAAATGGCAGCGATTCAGGGATTGCTTCATCAACCGCTCAGCCACCTGCACAGCAGGGTTGGGAGGAGCTGGGATGGTAACCTTATCTCTCCCAAAACGTGAAGATTTAGTCCTGTAAATCAGAGCTCTTCGCTAGAAGTGTAAAGGTCGCATTCCTTTTCACAGAAGTAACAAAGAGCCGAGTAGGCACTGCAGCATGTATGGGCCTTGAAAGAGTTTACTTAAGGGAGTCCTATACACTTGAGGTCTGAACCAAATCCCACTGGAGTCAATGGGAGCCCTCAAAGGGCTTTGGGTACAGACTCAATAAGGCAGTGTAATCCCTCCAAAGCTTTCAACTTATTGTCAGAATCCGACATTGTTTTCGGGATGGGTTAGAGGTATAAAGTAAAGAGGCAAGAACTCCACTAACAGGTTTATTAAAATCCACATAGCCCAATACCCTGTCTCCAACTGCATCCCACAGTGAATATTAAAGGTATATAAATATATATATATGAATAACACCGGGAAAGGGCAGAATGATCCTCCCCCATTATGTCCATTAGCTTCCAGCTCTGCATGGCTGGGTGACCCCCATTTACATGCAGGTCATCGCGTCTCACTGCCAGCTCTGAATAGACCGATTCACCACAAATGTGCTCAAGCCTCTACCTCCATGTACTTTTTGCCCCGTGACATCTTTGCAGCAGGGAGTTCCACCACGTGCCACGTGTGGAAACGCGCTCCTCTGGTTTGCTGCTGCTGGGAGAGCGCGCGTTTGCCTTAAAAAACAGTGTAAGTGGTTGCAGGAGATGTCTCTGACTGCCCGGCTCCATAGCAGAGCCAAAATGCTTTTAATAGAATAAACAAGGCAGGCAGGACATGCCCGAGTCTCTCTCCATGCGTGCCACTGTGCAAGGAGCTGGCGTAACCGCCAGCAGAGTCACCCCTAGGACACTTCACCCATTCTGCTCAAAGTTGCTATGAATTGGAGAGTAATTCAGTCCCCAGTATTCACTAAGCCCGCATCGCTCTGCTGACACTGCCAACAAGGGCGCTAATTTGCATCAGTTGTGGGAATGATGTAGTTGTACGGCTTTTAGTGCAACTTGCAAGCACTGGTAAGAGCTTTTAGCCAAAAGACATTTCTTTAAATGATTAAATGTACATTTGCAGAGCCCTAGTGTGTTCCAGGATTCCTCCACTTCCTTTTAAGAAAACTCAAAATTTGATTTTCCCCTGACTAACTTACTTATAACAAAAGCCAAAGGAGCAGAGAGCAGTCCCAAAAATGTGTTACACACCCTCAGAGATTCAAGAAATGAGACATTTGTGAGTGATTAACTGGATTTGATCATATCCTGGTTTTTTATGCAGTGGCCAAGGCAAACAAAGGTCCCCATTCTGTCACTGGCAAAGTGACATTGAGGAACCAAAGTCAAAGGTGTCAAAGTCAGAGATGTTTCTGAGTCCATGGTACAACACTCTACTTTTCCTGAACTGCAGTCTTAGATAGCAAGAGATTTCTTAATGTAAACGATCATCCTGAATCCAGCAAATCTTTGACATTACAACAGTACAAAATAACTCAATTTTAACCACTTTAAACCAAGAAAAAAAATGTAACTATGCAACATCTGTGATTCCTAATCCACAAAACATCAGGACCGTAAGCTCCTCAGGAAAGTCTGCCAGTCCCTTTGAGTGGTGGATGAAGACCAAAAGACCTCCTGGACTTTCCATTCCTGCCCTCTATGTGGAGAGCATGATGAAACCTACTAGCTTGTTTGACTAATGATCTGCTGTGCAGGATGGCAGAAGAATGTAAGAGTAGTGAGATGTGTGTTTCCACAGGGTAAGTCACCTCAAGCCGTTTTGTCCTCTGCCATAACCCCTTCTCTTGGGAACTGTCCTCCAGCTATCTAGGAGTTTGTGTTGGATTTGGACTGGAATTACATGGAAGAGGTGGTTTCCGCCAAGATAAAACCCACCTATGTGGGGAATGAATGTCCCCAGGGCCTCGCCTGAGACCAGGGACTAAATTTCCATCTTACAAATCTCCTTACCATCTGCTCCAAGGCTTATTTCTTTAATCTTGTCCTTCCTAACAGGAAGGAATACCATCTTCCATTAAAAAAAACCCTACCCAACTCCAAATCCCTGAATAAATAAATATCTTCATTAAAAACTTGAATGTGAACACAATTATTTCATTTTAGGTCCACAAATCAACACATACTAAAATATTTTCATTGTTGCAGTCCAACCAAGAGAAAACAAAACAAAACAGAACAATCAAAACCAAAGAACAACTTCAAGCTGACCCCCGAATAATCCTGTAGCTTTAACAACTGCTAGGAAATGGCATGACCCAGCTTTGCAAAGCCTTAGACTCTGCCTAAAATTTTCCTGTTTGGGTTTTCCCACATACATCTGGGTAGTCACCACCCACCTCACCATCAGCTTCCCCTGTTAATACATCCTTTTCATCTGATTGCAAGGTTTTTATACCGACCAGCTCTGACTACTACCTGTCTTAACTTCTCTGCTCAGTCAGAATTCACATGCTTTTGTATCCGTTTATTTTACGTCACACTAATGCTGTTGTGTGGCCAACTTGTTATCTCGTTATGCACAATACATGCAACTTGAAGTCATGCTCCACCTCAGTGATGGAAAAACTGAAAGTATACATACTCAAACCAGAAGCATTCCCACCCAGCACAGACATCTTCCCAACAGCCATCCACAGTATTCCATGGCAATGAGCTCCACAGGATCAAAGACATGGGGAAGGGGAAGGTTTAAGGAAAAAGATGGCACTTGGGAGGTCCAGTGCAGGTGGGTAAAGTGAAGCATGAAACCCCCCTCATGTCATTGCTGTACTTCCAGGGTTAAAGAATTCCTGAAAGAAATTCCTTCTTGGCTTGCCTCCTGCTGCTAAGTCAATCATAATTATCCTTCCCAGTTTCAAAATTCAGGAAAATTTTGTATATGAAAAATTACATATTAGAGTCATATAACATGACTCTCCTTGGTCACATACAATTTGAGATAAGCGTTCACTTGTTGATATTGATAACAATGTAATACTTTTGACAGTTTATGGCATGTAACGAATACCAATTTAACCTGTATATTAGAGACAATTAAGCTCAGTGTGGATTAGCTCAGCAAAAAACATCAAATCCCAGCCTCTGGCTGCCCACATATGCCAACAGAATATGTAATAATTGCCAGATTTTTTTATAATGTCAGCGAATTTAAGTTTTATTTATAGATATAAAAAATAAACTGGAAATTTTCATTAAAAAAAAAATAATTCAAGAAAGCTTAACTATTGAAAAGTTAGTGTATCTAGAGACCTAGCAGACAGAGACAGAGGAATGCTCTTGCTTCTCCATCACTATTCCCTCTTCAGTCTAAACCTGAACAAACTATTCCTGCAGTGTTAACCAAATTTACCTTGACAGCTGATGAAAATTGGATCCAAGAGGTCAGAACACCAACTGCCTCGGGAAATCCATAGAAGTATGGGAAGAGGAGAGAAAGCAGACATAAAAGATTTTCTAGACAGGGACTTGAAGTGAAAGTCCGTACTTGGGCATAGGGATATGCAGTACAGCCTCTCCTAACAGTTTAAGTTCTTTTTTTTTTAAATATGACCAGGAAAGGTGTGGATGCCCTCTAAGGATAAGGAGATACTCACGGGATTTGCTTGCAGACAAGACCCAGTGCTAAACAGAGAATCATTCTGCAGTTTGAACATAACTGCAGTGGAATGACTAGTGGGGCTCACTGCACTTGGGGGGAGTTTCTTCATTAAATTTGATGAGGCTAAGATTATTCTCCTTTCACTCACGTCTTGTTTTTTCAAGACAGAGGATCTGGAGACACTGGAGGAACGCATTATACGGCATGGTTGCTAACATTAATCAAACATCTTCTATCCCTGTTTTTTTTTTTTTTGGGTTTTTTTTTTTTTTTTAATTAAGAACTGTGCTTTGGACTACACAAAGCAGATGCATGTAATGCATTTCCTTACCTCCCCAAGGTTTCATTTTTCACTGGAAGAAAGAAAGAAAGAATAAACCACTGTGTTTTTTTTACTAAAGGTGAAAAATACATGGTTTCCTTAAAGCGTGTGCATGCACACGCATACACACTGCTGAAAAAAAAATCCCATTTTCTTCCTTTCTTAGTGGAATATCCCGAGGCGGAGAGAAATAAACTTCTCAGCCAACTCTAACAGTAACAGACACGTATTTTCTAATTGACCACAGAAACTAAAGCTCTCCTTTACCATTTCAGACATTCTGGTGACCCCCATCAATAGCATACCTAAGCATAAGGTTGCATCCCTCAAAACTTAAATGAACTACACAGAAAAACACAACCATGTTTTGATGACAGAAGCAGAAAAAACGTTTTTAAGC